CATCTTAAATAGAAATAACATAGCATTACAACGTAGAAAATATAGTGTGAACAGCTATTTTACCTGTTAACATATACATGTTAGGCTAACGTTGCCTTGGTTAGAGCCTGTTGCTGTTGTTTATTGCTTTGAATTCTTTAAAACAAATATTATCTTCTTAAACCTGTATGGTAGTCAGGAGCATCACATCCTAATGTTTATTGATATATTTAGAGGGAGGGAAGGAAGGTTTCAACATTCTGATTAGATACATTTCTACCATTTCTTTAATTCATGGTGGTTTCAGTAATCCCATGGTAATTGAGGACACAAGTAATCTAAAGTACTAATGTAATCTTTATGACTTTCAGAAAGGACAGGAGACCCACAGGTGCCTATCAATGATTGTCAACTGACAGCACAATGAGTCAAAGGACTAGCAGCAGCAGCATGATGATGATGATGTTACATGTGTTGTTTTAGGAACATCCATGTAAATAAATGGAATTCAATAAACATTGAATAGCATATCATGCCGTTTGTCTGTGCCTTTTCCTCCGTGTTGTCCTGGCATATCGTCTCCTCCATGGTTTGCTGTGCTGCCTAGGGATGCTCCAAGCGCTCAGAGAAAGGAGTACACATGCAAAGTTTCCCCACTGACACAGAGAGGAGGAAATAATGGCTGGCTCAAGTCAGCAGGAGCAATTTAACTATCACAAAAGACAACAACAACATATGTGAGGTAATCATATTTTTCACAAAACGAAGACCACACCATTGGGAAGCTTAATGTCTGTTTAATCAAAATAAAGAACAGGGAGAGGCTTGCAAAACTCTGGGAGTTGAGACTCAGGTGCAGGGTGAGGGTCTCATTGCAGGTCTTCAGGCTCCATTGAATCCCCCCTGGGGTTCTTGTGCTGAAAGAGGGAGACAGGAGAAGGGTTAGATACATCTAGCAATCTATAGGATGGGAAATTGCTGACCTATTCTAAACTTACCTTGTGTTTTCACTCTCACTTAAGTCCCTCTCCCTTTGCCATCAATCCAAAATCAGCTGAGCTGCAACATAATACAGACAGGTACTAATCAACAGAATCACAAGGACATTATATGGCTCTAAAAACACTCACCCATAAGTTACGTTTTTGTTTACTGTTTGGAAGTCTCAAATATGCACTCTAAATCCATATCAATAGCGATGTATCACACAAATAGCTCTCTTCCTTATTATTGTGTAACATTCGTTAACTATATTATACTAGCTTGAACTCCAAAATGGATATCCTCATTTCACCACCTCCACCCACTACAATCACACGCCCCAATGTTATATTTAACTAATATGTAACTCCCTCCACCCCGGATAAAAGCACGTTAAGAAGCCCCTTTTCTCTAATTCCACAACGTTGGAAGAAATAACATTAAGAGAACGGATTAATAGGCTGTTCATGGTTAACGTGTGTTGCTAACTTTCACCGGTATCCTAGCCTCATCTGTCCGGTTGAAAATTAATGCAAGCTCTATGCCCATTGTAGAACAAGAAACAGAAGTTGGTACAGGTTCTGGTCAACCCAACATTGTGATAGAGAGAGAAACATGTTTTGTCATTCTGCCACCTCTAATGCTTACAGCAAGTAATCAATACCTCAGAAGGGTTCATGTACATGTAGGCTACGGTTTGTTAGCGGTTTGCTTAAACTACCCCTATAGCTATGTTGCCGGCTAGCAAACTCAGGCATTGTAAACAATAACGTGATATCAGAAAACTAGAAATGTATAACTCACCTGACACTGTGGCGTGCTATTCTCTTCATTCGAGTCTGTCATGTCCTGTAAATGTCAACGATAGATGTGTAATAAGAACGTCAACAGCCTGATGGCAACCGAAAATCCCTCTCTCATCTCATCAAAGATAGAAGATATGATTGGAGACGACCAGCCAATCAGAATTGACCTTCTCGAGTTCTCCGATTGGTTGGTTTTGTGGCACATTTGTAACGCTGTGACAACTTGAGCGAGCGCAGGCAAAGCTGAGCGCGCACAGGCTGGAGAGGTCGAGCGAGCGGGGGAGAGAGAGCGCGTGCAGCGGTCTGCTTGCGCACGGAGCAGGAGTTTTATGAGAGAAAATATATTTCTCTGTGCTCAAAAATGTTCAAGTGCGCGCTCAATAGCATTTTCTATGCTCAACATGTTTCATTGCGTGCTCAGGTTAGAGGCACAAATATAACGCCATACAGGCGCGGCATCATTGTTTGTGTGGCATGTCAGCCTGTTCAGTCGTGTGGGAAAATGAGCCCTGCCGGTGGAGGAGGTGATAATTAAAGAGGAGAAGAGAGAGAGGATGTGGTTCTGGGCCCTGGCCCTTCTAAAAAGAAAATACTTGTGTCTTACAACAAACAGTGGGAAGAAAAACACAGTTGGGTAAAGCCCGTGAGTGGAGATCTGTCTCGGGTCTTCTGCACTTTGTGTCGGAGGGAGTTTTCAATAGGTCACGGTGGAGAAAACGACCTAAAACAGCATGCTGGCACAGAAATGCACAAGCGAGCAACACAAAATAAAGGTGCATCAAATATAACTAAATTCTTCGGCAGTTCAACTGCAGAACAAGACAAAGTTGCTGCATGTGAGGTAACATCAGTGTATCACACAGTTAAGCATGGTTTGAGTTACAACAGCATGGACTGCAGTAATAAGCTGGCAAGTGCCATGTTTAGTGATTCGAACACTGCAAAGAAAATGCAATGTGGAAGAACAAAGGCTGAGATGATAACAGCCAATGTGCTTGGCCCCAAAACTGTTCGGGATATTCTAAAAGAGCTGTGTCCTCCTCCCACCGAGGTCGCAGCAGGTGAGGAGGTGGAGTTACTAAAAAAGTAACTAAATCCGCCAGAAACCCGAAAATCGTGTGTCCCGTTTCTCCATTTCTGGAAGTTGGCAACCCTATACGTTACATACATTCAGACGGATGCCCTTGGATCTTCTGTTCTCAGTCCGAGTCGCCAGCCTGTGTAAGCAGGCCACAACACTAATAGGACGCTGCACTGGTATAGAAGCCTCTGGTCGTTGGGTGGCGCCAGAGAGCGAGACGGCAGGCGTGGAAACAGTGGCTTGGATGACACCGCCGGAGAGGGTGGTGTGTCAACGTGGCGCTGGAAAAGTCAGGGAGACGTCTGAACAGCGTGATGCATGTTAGCCGCTAGCATGCGGCTACCAAGCCTGCTCGGGTGGATTCCATCAGTGCCGAAGAGGGCGGGTCTGTCCCAAAATAGATTGAAATTGTCAATAAAACCAAAATTGTCAGCTCTGCAGGCGGATTGGAGCCAGGTGTGGAGGCTGAGGATCCTAGTGAAATGCCCTGCTCCACGGCCTAGCGTTGGCATCGGACCTGAAATAAAAAACGACTTTTCACAGAGCCGTAAAAGAATAAAAAGTTTCTTAAAATCCTTTTTTTGTCAGCTCCGACTGCTGGCGGGCTGTATCTTTAGACCCCACATGGACGATTAGACGATTGACAGAGGACGGGAGTGAGTGCAGCAGCCCCGGGAGTTTCTCCAGGATAACCGGGACGGTGGCTCCAGGGAGGCAGCGCATGGCTGCGTTGAAAATTCGGATGTTTCTGATTATGGAATCCCCGATTCTGATTATGGAATCCCCGTTTAAGGACTAAAAATCGATACATTTTTCACTTTGCTGTTAGCAAATAATTTGGCGCTCTAGCTAACAGGAAGTCACTGTGCTGGCCATTGGCCTAATCATATCACCTGTGTTGGCTTTATGTTTTTGGTCAAAAATCATTTTGTTTCACATTTGCATTGATGTAATCAATAATTTTTCAAATGTAATAATAATAATAATTTTCAAAAAAAACCGCATATATTTCTTGGGGGTGCTTAGGGGGTGCTTTGGCAATTCTGAGGGGTGCTTCAGCCCCCTAGCTCCCCCCTGGCGCCGCCCCTGAATTTGAGCATGCTAAATAAGGCGCACACTATTCTCCCACATTGCTCAGACGTGCACACAAGCACCTGGGAAAAAATATATTGTATATTATGGTGAAGTAGCTAACTACCATGCAATAAAACATAGTGTTACATTTTAACCCTTGTGTTGTGTTCGAAAGCTGTTACCGTTCATGGTGTTCGCGGGTCCATTTTTACCCATGATTTATTTCAATCCAAAACACACCAAAAAAATGACTATCATCCAATATTGTTTTAACTACATCATAACTAACTTATGCATTCATAACCGTACAATACTGTTGTAATTTAATTGTATGGCCCCAAAACACATTACACCACATATTGCACACGTGCATGTGTGTGTTCAGGTTCAAGTGTTAGTGTACATATTCTTTGAGAAAGTTGGAGTTCCCGTGGGGGAAGGGGGCCAGAGGGATGCGAGACTAGGTGCATGTTGCGAAAAATGATTGTTACAATGAATGAAGGGGGTGGGGCTGGGGTGTCTAAAGTCAAAGATGAATCTTGATTGGGCCAAATTTGACCTCGAGTCACCCACAACAATGCTGCTGGGTCTACCCAGACTTGAACACCAAATTAGACTATACACCTTCAGACTTTGTCAAAATCAGTTTTGTAGTGTTTATATAGTTGTTGTGGAGGATATAATGAAGCCTTGTTCAAATAAAAAAAACTAGAGCGTAGTTATTATATAATTTTAACTTGAAACGGGTCACGGGAGACCCGAACACAACATAAGGGGACATGTTTTATGTCTATTTGGAATGTATAACAATGTATTACCAAAGTAGGAACTGCATTTGTTGAGTGTTCTTGTTAAATAAAATAGCTAGCAAAAGAGACAGAGCAAGTGTTATACAGCAGAAAGAAACCCAACTATTATTCTAATGATTAACTTTTATGGGCATAAGCAATTCATTAAAAATGAATAGCTTAAGATTTGTATAGGCTCATGGCAGGCTGACCTACAGTACCATTTTCACAGTTTTCTAAGAAAAATACATTATGTTATACTTACAAACATCCAACAGAGGGGGCAGTTATGCAACATTACCTGGAATCAATCCGGCGAGGAAGAATAAGACCCGGAAGTAGCCGGTTGATCCATGGTTGATTTGTTTTGGTTTTTTTCGCGGCGGGAAAGCTCACAAGAACGAAGTAAACAAATTACATGGTAAGAATTAAGTTAAATGTCTCATGTATTTTGTTTAGTCATTAAATCAGCTAATCTGGCTGCAAAGCTCTCTTAATGTTCTGCCGTTAAACGGGCTACTGTAACCTAAGCAACGGGAAAAAGTAGTACTATAATCAGGGGTGCACACAACCTTTTTGCCCTGGTTCTCAAAGGAGCACCTGGAGATGTTGCTTGGTGCGCATCCTTAAAATGAAATAAACCGGACCTTTTGAGGGGTACTTGACTTTATAAACGGGGGGGGGGGGGGGGGGGGGGAGGGGAGTTGCGCTAGTGAGCCCGCTCATGGACTGTTCACCGGAGCCTCGCAGCAGGGTTACTGTGCGGAGTGCATAAAGCAGACCCTTCACACGATAGCGAGGGGGTAGAGCGAGGGATCGACAGATGCCGTCGTGCTCGCGGACGGATTAAAAAAATCAAACTTAAACGGCTTACGAATTATACTTTGGCGGCCGTTAATATACCTGGGTGGCCCGCCCAGGTAAAGCCTATGTGTGGGAAACCCTGCTATCTTACTCGTTCATATGCAACTCGCAAATATCTCTCTCTCTCTCTCAATGTTGGTGCGCAAATGTGCCTTTTTTCAAATGATCCGGTGCTCCTTTTTTCGCGGTGCACCTGCGCACCAGTTATGTGCAGCCCTGACTATAATGTATCTAATGCATGTGCAAACACTCATTCATACAACTGGTTTGGACAACATATTACAAACACCTGATCAGTTCCATGAATTGAATAGAATCGCTAACTAATTCCTCCAAAATGAACGGTATTTTAACATAAAGTAAACGCCACATTTTTTGATTGAATAAGATATCGATCAGATAATGCAGCTTGCTTTACATTTTTACTTAACTTCTTCTATGTCAGACATATTTCTATGCTCTTTAAAGATTGCGTTGAAGTAGTTTTTTGGCTTGATATTTGACAGGCATTCACTCCAGTCCTCTTCTTCAGTTTCAAAGTGGACGTTCAGAGCCCTTCCTCTTAATCAAATGGTTTCACTTGCTACAAATATATAATTATTACTGATTACTATAATAACTGATTACTGATGTGCCATTAATTGGTTTATCAAACACATTGTATTAGAATATCATCAACTTCCATGTCATGTGAGCCAGTGACTCAATGCAGCATAGTGTTACTAGCTACACTGTAATATAAAAACACTTCTCTTTATTGGATTTGAGTCCAGCTTTTTTACTGTAGACATACTAGACAAGTTGAATACACTTTAATAAAGTAAGTGTTTATGTAAGCCATTGCCTCCCAATCCATATGATATATTATTATGGAACTAGACAAATAAGACACACCCTTTTTAAATTGGATTTTAGGACTTCTAAAATAATAATTGGGGGATAATCATTTTTAAATATTGTTATTAAAATTAACCTACACTAGATTTCCTCAATTTATTTCAATTTAGTCCATGTTTTACTTTATAAAAATCTGTATGTATTACAGTAACTTTTCATTTGTTTGAAGGGCTGTCTTTTCTGTAATTGACCCTCCTCCACGAGGTGAAACATTTGAAAGCATGGCGTCCACACAGCAGGATGCGGCCATATCTGACATCTCCCCAGTTCTGTTCATGACGGTTGACGGTGAACCCATGTCCTTCTTCCTGAGACCGGGTTCTGTTAAATGCAAGCTCCAGCCGCTCATTGCAGCTGGAGGAGGGATACTGAGCAATGTGCAGCGGCCAGGGGCCATTCTGCTCATTGACCCCAAAGAAAACGGCTCTATTCCTGAAACTACTGCTCACTGGTAGGTGCTAGGCTGGGATGCCATTCAGCCTCTTCAGTTGATAAAACATGACCATACCATGTAAGGACCTTTCTTGGCTTTGATGGTTATTTTGAGCCATTCAATAATCATATTTTAAGAATATTTCTGCCCAACATTCACACATCTAGATCCAAAGAATACTTCATCCCAAATTTCCTTTTTGAATGTCATTATTTACCCTGTCTAACTATGAATTATTATAGAAATGTTTACTTTTGTTTGCATGCCTCAATCTTGAATTGAGGAATCCAAAGACAGAGACAATTGTTGATAAATGAAGGTAGCTTGAGGCTGCGTTTAAAAACAGCAAAACGATATCAACATATCAGTTCACAAACTGTCACACAATAACCACAGCCCAAGTCTAATTTATTCAGTGAAATACTCACAATGTTCGTAGCATGTTTGTATATGTAGGTGATAAGGAGTGTAATTTATATTGACAACATTGGTATTGTGTAACTATATTTAAACATAGTTAAAGCATGAAATGAAAGTGCTGTCTGTTTATTCCTCAGTTACGTGTCCACCCAGTACATTCACGACTGTATTGAGAAGGAGGAACAGCTGCATTTAGAGGACTACAGGTTAAACCCTGAAGTTGCCCCGAGACAGTCTCCTATACTCAACAAGACCCCTCGTCGTCTCTCAGGAGGTATGATGTTATGAGCTGACCTTCTTGTAAGGAGCATAGTTTACTCATAACAAGATGTAAAAAGTGTGCAGTCGTTTTGTATTAGCTTTAGCCTTTATTATCACATGAATATTCATGTCATACTGTTTATTAGTTTTACATTTACTGACAAATACTTTCTCTTTCTTTCAGAAAAAGTAGGCAGGATTCCCTACACATCTGAAGATGATGCAGCCATTTCGAGTTATATCAACAAGTGCCAGAAAGAGGTTGGGGGGAACCGGCTTTGGCAAGAGATGGAGAACCAGCTTGTGACCAATCACACCTGGCAGTCAATGAAAAGCCACTATAAAGTGTACCTGGCAAATAAAAAGCCAGAGGTTTTGGAGGTGAAAGCAGAGGAAGCCACAAAATCAGTAGAGGGTGATTTTAAGGTAATTTACTTTGAAGATATTTAGCTATATATTTCTCTGTATAACTATATTTCTTTCAGAATGTACATAAGAGGCAGTTTTAAATACAGTACTACTGTCCAACCAAACCTATTCAATGCAACAGTCCTGAAATAAACCCAACATTATTGAACCTTTTAATGTTCAGGTTTGGTTGGCAGGCTGTCAATAGTGGTGTTTATCTTTTTAGTGGTCTATTGTTCTACAGAATATTGAAAGATGATTTTATTGAGTAGATGAGTAAATGTATCTTTCATGTATGGTAATTCATTTGAGCAATATATGAGTCATACCAGGGACAATTCTGGTGTTATTACAGGGAGGGTGTGAACATTTTATTGAACATTCATTGGACATGAGGGCTGTCATGATTTCAACATTTCTCCGCACAGTTACAAAGATACAAAAAATAATGTTCATGTTACATCATATCACCACCATTTAGTGCAACAATGTATTGAAAACAATTTTTTTATGTAAAATGGTCAAATGAACTCCAAAGTTCCCACATTGCTACAAAATAACAAATCCCAGGTTGATTATTTTGGAGGCTGTAGGTCAGAATCAGAAACAGGTGTATTACCAGCTAGATTGACACGTACGAGGACTTTGACTTGGTGTTGTGGCGCATACGTAAAAGTTAAACAAAAATGTAAAACACAGATAGGTGCTAGTATATTTGTTAATAATATCAGCGGTGGTGCCAAAAAAACATTAACATTTTCAAAGTAACAGAGTAACCATAAAACACGTACACATAATGCCACCTTCTTTTTTTAACTCACTGCCTGCAACCAACACCACAGTTAAAACATTTAGTAGGTTTGAATGTGATTTGTAGGGACTGTATGGGATTTGGTGTCATCTATTTTTGCAGTTGCAAATTGTACCCCCACACACCCCTCCGTTAACCACACTAAGGTAAAGACTTGTCAATTGAAGTGCCATGGTAACACCTGGGTATCTTTTTACTGCACTGTTAGCTTACAGTTTTATTATTATGCTGCTGTGTTTATTTTTGCAACTCTGGCACAACAATTTCCTTCGGGATAAATAAAGTCCTATCTTATCTAATCTTTAGGTCTTTAAACACCATCCCTAGAATAACACTACTTTAGAAGCAGTTTAACAAGCGTGTCTGAGAATTATGAGAACATTAAGGTAATGTAAAAACAGAAAAGATCTTCTCTAGAGCCAGAGTTTGGTTTGTGTGTTCAGAGCTACTGCAAAAACATTTCAGACCCTGTGAAAAGGACCCCCTCCCTGCGCAGACATGAAGGACTCACTCTAAGCTAACACAAACACAACAGTTCTTTGTTTCAGGCGATTATACACGAATGAAAGCATTAATATTATATTCCATTTCTGCTAATCATACCCCTAAATACTACACACTGGCCCCTTGATAAGCAATTTAAATGACTTGAACTGAACACAACAGATTTGGTGTCTCAACAGATAGATGCCCAGCCCATACCAGCTGAAGACACACAACCAGAATCTCCAAAATCCATCTCTCCCGAAAAAGAAGTCCAACTTGCGAATCCACAATCTGATGAGCAACCAGCTGAAAGCACACTAGTAGAGACGGTAGAAGCTGAAACTTCTAACCCCTCCGAAGACGAGGGACCTTGGTTGGACCCACACACAGATGCTCAGCCCATCCAAGCTGAGAGCACGGAAACAATCATCTCTCCTGAGGAAGAAATGGTGCCAGAGGACTCTCCTCCAGCTCAGCCCGAGTCCCTGCCAGGCACCCCTCTTCAGAAAAAGCCTAAAGAGAAACAGAAGGCCTCCCCAAAGCCCCAACAACCTCAGAGACGATCAACATGCTGGCATCTTGAGCTGGAGGGGTCGCCTGAACCATATGCTGAAAAACTCAGATCAGCAGCTCCTTCAAAACGATATGGATCATCCCCGCAGCTCTCGAAGAAAAGTGAATCTCCCACTAAGTCTTCTCCTAAGAAAGACAACATGGTGGAGCAGCCGCCTTCAAAGAAAGCCAGATTAAGCAGTGTGCCAGAGGAACCGCAGGAGGAGAGCGCACAAGCTCCTGTTTCTGAAACAGCACCAACAGGTGTGTTATACGTCTCCCAGTGTGGGAACAATCATTATAGCTTTTATGTAATAGAGGATCTTCACTTCTCTAATTTGTCAACCTCCAATGATATGTTGCAGATTCAGAGTCTAATTCAGTGCCACAGGAAGTGGAGAAGAAAAAAGAAAAGAGAAAGTTGGGGATTTTAGAGTTGGCTATAAAGGAGTTTGAAGATGAAAGTGAGGTAAGACAAAACCGATTCATAATGAATAAAAATGGCTTGTCACAAGGTTGCTTTTCGATCAAGGAATTCTTGAATTGTATCGGCTGATGTTATCCTTTTCTTCATCACCTCCAAAAAAACCATACTCCCCATGAAAGAATCCTTAGTTATGATTTATTTAATTAAACCGTTGTGTTCCTGTCTCTCAGTCAGATGAGGATGTAACTCCAGACCTCCAAAACCCATCCGAAACACCAACGATACAACCCCCCGCGACAGCTGAGGGGGTCCGCTCCTCCTCCAAAGCCCACCTGTTCATATTCAACAGTGAAACTCAGGAGGAGGAAGACTCTCAGTCTGTCATCGGTCCCAGCAGAGAAGCTCCATCCCGACCAGAGGCAGCGGTGAACAAAGATGCTGCCTTTTCCCTGACTCAGGTCCAGCTGGAGGAGGACAAACAGCGAATCAAAAAGCTGATGAAGCAGACCGGCCAGGTGAGGACTGATGATGCAATGGGAATGGGAAATGAACTGCATTTGTTGTAGCGCTTTTCCAGTCTTTGCGACCCTTCAAAGCGCCTTTACACATACCACACATACACGAGTCACCATTCACACACATTCTCACACATCTCACAACATTGGCAATTTGGCCTTAAGTTTCTTGTCCAAGGATACATCAACATGTTGACTGCAGTGGCTGGAAGGAGCAGCACACCCAGCAAAAGCCCCCTGTCCGCAAGTGATTGAAAATAAAACCATTTATTGATTTCTAATGCCAACGCTTGTGTCGTGATAAAGCTTTTAAGTTTTTTTTCATATAGCTGATTCTAATATACTGGATAATATAACTTTTCGAAGCAAATATTGATATATGCAATTCATTTAGATGAATGTCCCAAAGCATATCATTATTGAATACATGTTATAAATCGCTTAACAGCATTAATTATAAGTAAAAGTGACGAATCGCACCAATATGTTCATTATTACAGCTGTCATGTGATCGTGTAGGTTACATTGCATTTAATTTAATTTAGGTGGCGCTTTTATCCAAAGCTACTCAATAAGTGTAGTCCTGATGCATGTTCAAAATGCTTAAGAAAAAAAACTGGATTTGGCTGTCAGTGAATTTGACAACTTATTTATTTTGTATATATTTGGGCATTTCTGAACTCCCCCAACTATTTTTATTCCAGGACTTGATCAGTGTGACCAAAGCCCTGTTGAGGACCAGCGGGGACTTCTCTGCTGCTCTGGAGCACCTTTTGAACCCCTCCTCCGCATTGGGACCCCTGTGGTGTCGCAGTGACGACGGTCTCTTGCTCTCAGGTGATCCCGGGGTCCGACGGAAGCTGCAGGAGAAATACAGCGAGGAGGGCGTGGCCAAAAGAGTCGCGTTCCTCGAGGTAGAGAGGTGATAGTGCTGGAAGGAACTCTTGTGGTGGCAGATAAATACAAAAATCAGTTTTAAATAAGCATTTTCCAAAAAGCACAAGTTAAGATAATAAAATGAATGTTGGAATTATTTCATTTAGTAAGGCTCCTGGTATTGTGCATGCATCATTCACTAAAAAACTCTAACAGCAAAGAACCATTGTGTTATCAGTAACACCTGCAGATAAGATGTCTGTAAAGAGTTGCTGAACTGACTTTACTACATTAATGACTGCAGCCAAGTTCACACACTTCAGCAAAATGAAAAGCACAGGTTAAAGTTAGAGGAATTTTTGTTTATCTTCGCTGAACTACATTGTTGTAATTTGATTACGGATATCACTTTTCAAGTATTATAACTGTACATCCTTGAATCTTCTACTGATGAACAATAAAACCATACAGTCTCTACATTCATATGCACTTTTTCACAGAGCATTAAAGTGTACTATAATGGCACGGAAACCTCTTTAATCTTTTTGAATGAGTGAAAAGAATTAAGAAAAAAACACAGCCTTGATTTTTCTTTTCCAAACCACAATTTTATTTCATTTTCCCCCAAAAAACAATTGAGTACATTCATCATTTTGAAACAATCTGCCCCAAACCCACATGAAAACATTTAATGAATATTTTAAACAAAATAATGAGAAATAAAACTATTAAATTAAAGCAGACAAATCAACCATGAACCAAACAGGATGCTTCCTGTAATGCAAATTAAACACAAAGACCAGAATCCATACAGATTTACCCTAATATGGCCACAAGTATTGCTGCACCTTGAATCTCCTGTTTATGAAATAAAAGATCTCAGAAAAATAATGACTTATAACAGCAAACAGGTATGCCATGAACATATACAACTGTTAGTTGAAACAACCGTTAACACAACCGTGTATTCCTACCGCACGCTGATAAAAACCAATTGTATTAAAAAACATTTTTAATATGAAACATTCACTCTGACCTAAGTCACATACATCTAGGCCGCACACTGTAAGTCGGTCAGGTAAGAACCCATTTAGTAAAGCAACCCATACCAAGGTCTCCAAATCACAGCACACCATATATCCCTGGATTTAAACAGCTACATGGTTTTTGCTCAGCTTTTACATGTGAGGTCTTTAGAACATGCCTCCAATCAAGCTACATTCATTAAGGAGGGTTGCTACAATTATTTCGACTGCATGTCGTTTGAATGTGACCTGATCTGAGAGAAGTAAATGGAGACGATGCACTTAATGCAAGACTTGTTGCAAGAAGTTTGAAAACACACGTGTGGTGGTATGCATGGACAAACACTGAGAGTTAGTAGGATTTATAGCTGGATTTATGCCTCTGTCCTTTCACTGTACACTTTGCTTTGGTTGGCTGGTTAGTGTGATGGTGGTGTGAGCCAATTTTAACGAGGAAGAGCGAACTGTGTTGCTGTTTCTGGAAGACAGTCATTGAATCAATACATATGCCTTTGATGTTAATAAAAAGAACAGTAGCGATAACAGAATGGCCCTTTGTTATTTATCAGGCTGGTTTTACATCAACTCATAAGAGGATATGAAGGATCTCCATGAGTGAGACACTTCCTCACTCTTTTCTTATGTCGTTTTTATTATGGGTGATCTGATATGGTCAATAATTGACAGAATCGTCTGTTTAATAATGTTGCAAAATCAATAAAGCAGAGTATGGTGACAACACACTTTTTGGTTAACAGAATAATTAGAAAAAACAGTGAAAAATACATTATATGTCACAAATATAATTATTATTGATTAGGCTTGACGCAAAGTCTGCATTGCAGCTATTACGTTAAAAAAAAAAAGACTCATAGCTCCCTTTCTCCACACAAACATGCTGAAACAACAAAAGGCCTGCGTTTTAACATTCTGATCTGTAAAACTTCAGGATAGAAGTTGCACTTATTCTTTGATCCAGCAAACCGTACATACATTATAATACAAAGAGGTGATAAAAAGATCACTTATGTCCCCATGCTTCGATCGCTTGCTACGGTTATCCTGTGGGAGCATTGAGAAGAGAAATCGTGAGACTTCTCGCTCTGTTGCAAAGTGTTTGTGATGAATAAAAAGGCCTCTGGGGTATACGATCACATGCCTACAGCTTGTTATGTACAGTCTTGACACTTTTAGCCCCAATTCAGGAGAGCCAAAGCAGGATGTACAACCCGTCTGGAACAGAGTCCCCTGCAGGACAGCAGAAGACAGCTCATAATCAAAACACACATACACAACAGGTTCATCTAAATAAAAAAAACTAAGATGTCAGGAGATGATGTATCCTTTGGTTTTTCTTATGACTTTTGAGGGCATTGTTTGGCTTTGATAACTCACATTAGATTTACTTTATCAAATATATTGGACTTTAGCCGTTTAAAATAACATTATGTGATGCACAATACACGTTGATCAGAGTGCATCAGAATCAAGACAGTGACCTTCGCGTTTCAGAAGTAGGGACATCTGGCAGATGTTGATAATTATAGTCCTTTAAAAAAAAAAGAAAAAGATTAATTGTCTCTTGTTGAGGGGGTACTGTTCCAGTTTTAACTTTTGATGTCCATGAAAAACAAAGTCCCATACTAAGGTAACTTCACGCTCAAACACGCACACAAACAACAAATAAATCTCAAAGTAATACATAGAAAACCCCTGCTTTGCTTTGAAAGGCGAATCGTATTGGAGAGGAACGGTACAAGCCAGTCCAAAAATAAGGCCGGCTAAATTGCATAGAACTTCAGTAGTGCTCTAAAGCTTCAAAGGACTGTGCTCCTTTCCTCTGTCGACTTTGGCAGCTCTGCAGAGTTCCCTCAGAAACCGACAGAACTCCCACACCATTCTCTCCACTCCTTGCTCTGTCTCCTTGGCAGAAGACACTTAAACCCCAAACAGTTTAATCTGGATTGCAAGCAAAATATATAAATAAAACATAACAAATAAATCTAAAGATGGATGTTTCTTTCTTGTGAATGCTATGTGGAGGAGCACAATATGTACTATTTTCATTTCCTTTAGAATAAAAGGACATTAATAGGGTAAGAACTTGTACAAAATATTTCTCAGCCAGTTTAAAATCTTAGAGAATAGTTTTTCTCTCCCCTTAAATGAAGTGAAGCTCTGGACAAGGATCCAGCGAGGCAGCAGTGAGGAAGAGAGCACAGCTCAGACTTTATTTTTGCACCCATTCTTTATGTGAAGCAAAGACAACCCCCCCCCCCCCCCCCCCCCCCCCCACCACCACCACTTCCTAAACAACAGATATAGTATAAAAGCACCAGTTCTGAGTCTGCGCCAGTAAGCACCGCCATCAGAACTTTAAAAGATCCAACAGGCCCAGATGTAGGCTGCTCCACCTCTAGCAGGGTTTAGCTCTATACACATTTGACCCCTGTGACGATGAGTAGCATTCAGGAAGAGACGGGACAACGCCCTACCATGCATCAACTAACGGGGACTTCAGGCTCTGCGTCCTTGTCCAAGATCTCGTCCTGGATCTCGTCTGTGTTCCCTGAGTCGCTGCTGGCCACAGAGCTGACGGAGGGAGAGTTCCTGCCGCCTTTAATCATCCGCCGACAGCTCTCCATCTGCACATCCAGGCCTCTCTTCATGCAGCACATGTCCATGTACTCGTGCAAATGTCGGTTCATGTCATTCTTGGCTGTGGCCAATTCAAACTAAAGTAAGGGGAAAGGTTTAAAAAGAGTTAGCATGTAAGAGAGGGGGTAAAAAATACCGGTGTTTGGGAGGATAGACTGAAGCAATGCCTTTCGTGGCTTTACCCCTGGTTTCCACACAGTGTTGTTGGGAGTACGTAATGACGTTCAAGGAATGCATTTGTTTACGGATTTATAAAATAAAAAACCACCACCACAAAGATAGAAAAAAAGGCTATGCTCACTATACACATGCCATACAATTTGAACATAGACATAACTGAATGTAATGACCTTAACCCTACATACTTATCTATATTCCACATAATGAATATATATATATATATATAATGTTTTAGCAGTCAGTTTAGTAACATGATGATTACATATACATGTGCAACACATCAGTTGTCAATCAACCTTTTTTTTTTTTACAACCAAGTCAACTTTAAAAAACATTTAAATGTTTTCCATGTTTCTTTACATGGCAATGTGGGGAAATAATGTCCAACAATCACTAATTGTTTACGTTTTTTTAATACGCCTTATTCAGGCTTTGTGCCCACAAGGTCTTTTTTTTTTCAACACACACACACACACTACCTCGATCTCGCCGATGGTCTCCTGGTACTGCTCCTCTCTGGTCTTAAAGAGGGACTCTGTTTGATCAATCAGGCTGCCAAGACTTCCATCCTGGGAGTCCTTGGAGAGCACAGACAGAAGTCTCATACATCATGCATGAGTAAATGTCTGACACAGCACCATAGCAATGATCTACACACCGCCCTGCATTAGTTTAAAAAAACATGTACTGTGCAAAAGGTCCATGAATGCAGACAGGACTTACTGGCTCAGCCACTTCACCGTTTCCATTGGAGCAGCTGGCGGTCGTGCCGGGTGTTGCAGTAAAGGCGCTCGGCACGTTGTAGTTTGTGAAGTCCTCCCACAGCAACAGGGTCTCCTCGTTTTCCTCCCACGTCAGACTGTCGCAGTCGTCGTCTATATCAAACGTCTCGCGCCTGGCAACAAAGGAGTTATCTGAATGTCTGCATAGGGACAAAGACAGAGAACGGAAAGAACAGGGGGAAGAGAGGAAAGACAAAGTAGAATGGCCCACAGATTCAGCAGAGGACACAAGCAAAGAAGGGGATGCACTTACTAAGAAGACAAAGACATGGAAGGAAGAGTTTACGGAAACACAGAGCAGTCACTTTCTTTTTGAAGATATTTAGAGGTCAAAATGGCCAATGTTGGTCATAGTGTAAACCATTAGGGAGCATCCAAACAAAACTAATATGACTTTAACAAAGCAAATGAATGTTCATAATATTTGTATCTGCTGATTTCAGCTATATCTGCATAGTGTACTCTGTGATACTCTATACATGCACTAGAGGGAGATGAAGGAGTTCACAGTGCTTCATCAAAACATCATCTTTGCTGGTGTGGTGTTGATGCAGTGTTTTGGGTCTGTGTGCATTGTTGCTGCATGTATGTGTTGCTCACAGCTGGTTGAGCATGCGTTTCATTTCGTCCGTGATATTGAGCGACCCGGGGACGTCCTCCTCTGAAGGGCTCGGCTCTGCATCCATCTCTGACATCTCCTCGTCAGACGTGGCTTTAAGTTCTTTCCTCCTGCAGCTGGCCCCGGCACCCTGAGAAACACAAATAGTTTATCAAAAAAATGTGCCTGCTGATGTGAACTACTGATGCCTAATCATCATCGGTAGAGGTGTGAGTCTTTCGGTATTTCCATTTTAAATCTTGGAGTCATGATTCAATTCAGAATTGATTCTCGATTCAGCTCATTTCAGGATCTACTTTAGTCTGTTTAAATTAAGAGAAGCCACCAGCTTGATTCACAGTGAATTTACAGTATACTCAGGCTCCAGCTAGCCCTGTCCGCGTAGATAACCTTGTGTGCAGCAAAGATTATCCACATTTCACTGTGTATGTGCATGCATATACGTATGTAACAGTAACTACTATAACTATTGTGTATGTTTGTGTGCGTGTTTGCGACTTTTGGGTCACTGAGTTTATTACCAGCGGGGGGGAAAGAAACGACACACTATACAGATTCAGCCCCTGGCAGCTCTGGTTTCATTAACAGAGTGCTGACTGTTGTCTTCACAAGATACTTCATATTTCTCCTGAGATAACTGTCAAACAGTGAAACAGCAGATGTATACCCACCCTCTCCGGCAGCGACCGGGCCGGACTGACGTTGAACATCATCGACATGTCCTCTGAGTTGCGTTGCTGGGCCACATCGCACAGTTTGGCCGTGATGTCGATCCTCCTGCAGATGTCCATGTCTACTCGCCGGGCTTTCTCGTGGATCTTGGTGTCCAGGTCAGACATTTGCTGCGTGAGTTAGGACAGATGTGTTAAATGCCATGTGTCAGACACCTTCTCACCACATGCACACGTACAGGGCGTAAAGTGGATTTACTGCCGTACTGATTTACTCATATTGACCGCCTTCAGTTGGTCACCATTAATGAACAAATTGAGTGTTTGTAAAATAATCTCCATTTGAGTTTGTTTTTTGCAGTTTTAGTGTATTTGAAAGCCAATGAATTAATGTCATATACAGTATTTAGTATCTTAATGTTTACCTTTAATATCATGTTTACTTTAACGTTTTTTAAACCCTTTTTTAAGAGTTAATTTTGCCTTTATGTTTACAATGCATCTTTGTAATATAATTCAAATTAGCATTTTTATTCATAACATAATAATGGCCTTTTCGTTTAACTCACGCTTTGAGAAGTTTGTGTTACCTGTTTTGACTGTTACTGCTACCCATTTTGTCCAGGAACAAAACAACTTAAGGTTGAATAAGATACTTACTTACACTACACTGGTTTGCATTATTCAATATGCAATAGGGCTGCAACTCACACATACTACTCTATTAATTTGTCCTATTTTCTCAATTAAACTCTTTTTTGGTCTTTAAAATGTCAGGAAGTGATAAAAAAAGTCGATCAGGATTTCCAAAAGAATAAATGATATTGTCGTTAACGCGTAGATAGTAAATGTACTACATATTCGCTTGAAAAAATACTCAAACTGAAGACTCGATCCAAATAGTTTTAACAATTTCGGATCATGCAAATTGTCACATATACTGTTCTTCATGCTAGAATGGAAGTTTTAACAAAAGGAGCAATGACAAGAGGTTTACAACATCTAGAGCACAAGATATGAGATGTCTAAGAGATCTCTTCTAAGTCACTTACCCGTCTCTGGATTCACACATAGGGGATGAAGTTAAAGACAGAAAATAATATGAAAGATCTACAATGTACAGAAGCAAGATAATCAACAAAGCTTTTTACAAAGAAGAAAAACAACAACATCTAACTTTATTTATCCCTGAGCAAGCACTGTTTGTGAATGGACCCAGCGCAGCATATTATAACTGTATATCACACTCGAGCAGACCTTCCACAGAACAATACCCGGCCGTACAGAACAGGAAGTGCTCTTGATCTACAGCTGCTATTTGAGCTGTTTTCAATGAATGCTTGTCTTGGAAGCTTTCTGGCAGTATATATTCTTACCAAATAAGGAAGGAAGGAAAGAAGGAAGGGTGTGTGTTTGGTGTTATTGTTTGAACCTGTATGAATGACAGCCTTTATCAGAATGACGCTTAGTAATGTGCTGGGAAACAATTTTATGTTCTTTAAACACTGCTGATTGAATGGTTTACATGATTGCATACAAAGTATGGTAGTTAACCTGGAGTTAACACAGCACTGTGTCTACGCTGTGAAGGCAAATAGATAGTTTCCATAGCACTGAACTAATACTTACATCCGTCATCAGACTCTTGAAGACCACAAGTTCAGCCTTCAGTCTGTCCACCTTTTCACTCAGCTCATCCTGCACCTCGGTGGACTCCTGGGCACTCTAGAAGGATGTGACAGTGTCGGAGTTAAAAAAGACAGTATTAAGGTTAGTGGAGTGGGCTTTACCCCGTTAAACTTGTAAAATAACCCAAACCCTAACCCTTTATACTGTGACAAACATTTGGGTAGCTCAAAGTCTTGCATTCAGATAGTAATGCTCTTCTAATCAAATACAGCTTTTATCAGGTTAAACATTTCCATATTGGTTACTGTTTGATCTTTTTATGATCAGTGCTTAGAGGTCATAGTTTCCTTTCCTTTCCACATGTACATAACTGAGATGATGCAAATGTAAGCTGCTACTGAAATAATTAACAGATAGTCAATTTTTTTTAAAACTGGTGCAGAAGGTATCTAGGGAAACCATCTGGAATACTTACATGCAGGTAGTTGCTTCCCAATACAGGGTAAATGTTGTCTGTTGCAGCCATTTTAGTTCACCTGCAACAATGGCAGCTAAGCTAACCAGATGTGCATGTACCTTTATATTTATCGTACAGACAAATGAAATCGGTCTTCACATATATCTCTTAGCAAGAGGGCGAAAAACGTGGTAACCAAGATAACTAGCTTTTTCTTTGAGGTTCAACTTAAAATGTGGCTTTACAAAACATCTAACCCATTCTCATCTAAACTACATTCACAACTTCTTTAACTCTTAACACTCAAACGGTACTAAGGATGTTTGAAAAATATCACTTTTATGGTCCAGCCTCACTATGGAGGGCCTAAAATATTGCCATTAAACTCATTATCAAGACCTCTGACTGGACGCCTGGAAAAATAAACCAATCCTTAAAATTCTATTTAGCTTCTTAACTGTTTCCCAGCCATTAACAAAAAGGAGGGCTAACCCTATTGACTGTATTATGTCCCTAGGAGTGCCACTTGCTCTACACATTATGCCAACACATGGTAACAGCCCTTTGGCTCTGAGCCCTGAACAATAAATGGCTGTTTGCACTGAATTTACTATCTCCGAACAGATTTCCAGCTCTTGCCTACACAGTGGCATCCGTCTGTGTGCTCTAAAAAGTAAAAGCACTCCACCTCTCTATCTGAGGTTCTGCTGACCCAGAATCCAAGCCAACACACATGCTGTCAGACACTGATCGATTAGTTCAAAAGATAAGAACGGGAAGGATGCCGACCACATGAGGTACTCACAGCAGATGGGATGGCGTGTGTTTTGTGATGTAGCCTGAAGGTGGGACACTTTAAATTGATTTAGCCTCTACATCTACTTCCTCTGCCGGCTATAAACAGAAACATAATTGTTGACTGCTGGTGATATTTGATGTTTAAAAGCATTTTGAGGCCAACAGACTTTTTCTGATGGGTTTTATAACATGGTTTTCCTAATTTAACACATTCTCCTGCTTCCAGTTTGGCTGATCCCACACAGAACAAAACACCAGCACTGAGCTATATACAAATGTAAATGCATGGGTTGAAGTAGCATTTTTGAAAAATGTATGTCTATAGGCCTACATGCTTTGTTCCTGTGATTGTATTGGCGCTCCCTGTGGCATTTGTTAAATGGTTCTTGAAAAGGCCTCAAATAGCTTGTGCGTGTTAGTGGAACATATTTCATTGTGGTTTTTCCCAACCTGCTGCATGTTTTCCACAGTGGACTCCAGCTGCTCTCGTCTGGACAGCTCCTCCTCCCATCTGCAACACAGAGCACAGAGGTGGGTCAGTTACTGCTGGGCCCATCCCCTGAGGGCCAACACACTGGTTCATGGTACCTTTGTGGTGATAATACTTCCAGCTCTGATTACAAAATGCCCTTGACAGTGTGGGTTCACGCCCACTTCCCCCCCATTTACAATCTTTTGTCTATTTCCCTCCTTTGTACAGTCATCTTAAAAACCCCACTGACTCAAACAAAAACTATAGAGTGTAGACCCCTCCTTCTCCAAACACAGACATCGTTTTTTAACCTTTGAGTGACTACAGAGGGACATTTGAGCTTTAGCAAAACCAACAGGGTGGAGTATATCTGTATATCTGCTGCAGACTGAATTCCTTCAGACTAGCTGTTTCTCTCCTTATGAAGTCTCAGGAGTGAGTTACAAGATCTCAGTGATGACAATTGAAAGGAAATGTAAATCTTTCGTCATTCTATTGACAAAGATACAACCTACACGAATAGAGCTTAACGTGCTAACACTACCTACCATTGTGCTAAAGCTAAACCATTATCAATTACAATTACTAGACGATAAGGTAGACTGAATCTCTCATTACATTATACTGTAGTTGCCATTTAGGCAGATAAATCACCCTCAAAAGAGCAGCTCATATTATTGGATTCATACATTTTAAATATAAAAAGTCCCAAGTTAGTCTACAGTCGTGCAAGCAACTCTGCGAAGCTGCACAGCAAGACTTTGAGCTAAAAGCTAATGCCACAATATGACGCCGATGTTAACTATGTATGCCGTCTTAATTTAGCGTCTTAGTCATGAATGTCAAGGAGTAACAAAAAGGATTACATTTCATCAGGAACATGTCAATCATTCCAACAGAGATATTTTAGTCTGGATCAAAGTGGCGGACCAACTGTGAAAGCCACACTGCTAGCATGGCAAAAATGAGGTGCCAGAACCCCCGACCCATGTACTGCGAGCTATAATTAGCATACCATTTTATTTCCCTTTCCTGACAGGCCATATCACTCATCTGCACCATGGCAGCTATGTAAAAACAGAATTAGGAGCGTCTATAATTGCCTTGCAGTACGTAATGTACACAAGTCACAGAACGCTGCATCGTTCAGTTCAGCACGCTCCTAAGTCATCGTGTTCCCTTGGATATGAGGCATCAGGCATGCTGAGTCACAGGCGCTTCCCAAAAGAGAGTTTAAGATTCAGAATGGAGGAGGAATTCATTCAGTAAAATGAAGTAGTCGCACAGTGTCAACCACCCATGTGAGGATGAGCCACTGTGGGACACATGATGAGGACATTAGAGGATAACATGAAAGGGGGTTTCTGTGTGTGAGACTGGTGGGAAGATTTGTGTCTATATGTGTTAAGTGTAAAAGGGAAAGGTGACATCTGATGACCACTACTGCATTCTGGGACATCACATAGCCTTTACCATGGAGCTACACAAACAACAACATGCTTCACTTTCTCAACAAAATGCAGCCTTGTTTCCATTCAGGACACACTGAATATATACTGTCTAATTAGGGAGAAGTATTCCTTGGCAGGGCGGGCCAGCTCGCACTGGGATTGAAGCCTTGTTCTAAAAATGCTGGCAGAGCTGCTTCACTGTGTCCACAACACTCTGCCTGTCTGCCGCAGGACTCTGGCTAAGGTCATTGGAGTTCATGACTGCATCACATCCTCTGCAGACAGGAATCCATTTGTGAAAGCATCTGCATCACTTGTGTTGTCACTTCCTGCAGAAACCACCACCCTTGTCTTCAATGCCGTGGGTGATAACTGGACAAGATGATTAAATTGACCTACTGATAGAGGGAAAGCCTCCCTTCGTCAACAATATGTCAAAGCCACTTATATCATCTATCAAAGGTAATAGAGTCATTGACAGAAGTAAGCAGCCACTGCTATTAGAGCAGAGCAATTCAGCAAACCATAAAAGTCTAATGGAAAACAACCGACTGTTCTCGAGCATCCATATTAAAATAGCTTATCCAAACAAAGACGGCAAAAGTATTCTGGCCTGTGACATAGCTGTGGTTCTGGTTCTCCTGTACCTTTGGTGTGACTCAGTCAAACGATCACACTCGGCGTCTCCTTACAAGGACAAAGACAGCAGGAGGGTTGGAGCCTGTGTCAACCTATGGTGTCAACTCATAGACATCTGTTTACCGCCAGACACATCCTCTGTAATCTTGCTCTTATAAATCAAAAAATAACTGTGCGGTCTTACAGATGTGTTAATTCATTCTGCAAAGCACACTGAATGGAAAAGTCAGTGGTTTCCTTTCCTTTTGGGGGAAGCAGAAATATCCTTAAACAGATAGTAAGCAGATCCAAAATGTAATCAACATAAATATACTATCTAATTAACATTGGGATAATTAAAAGTCCTGCACAGAACAAATCATCTCTATTATAACGTTGGGTTATTGGTTGGGTAATGTTTCCTCCTACTCAATCTAATAAGGGAATAGTTTTCTTCAGAGACGCATGATTAACTGCAGTAGCGCTTAAGCAGAATTGAAAAAAGAATTGATGGAAGCAAAAAAACGACATTTTATTTGATTAATGAAACATGGTGAATTAGGAGGTTAAAGAAATGCAACAGTATGGGAGATAAATACAGTGTCTTACACCAAACTGACATTTTCTCATACATTTTTTGTCTATTGGACAATAGCATTCCTGCAGCACCTGCCAACAAACACTCCCTGCCTTGTGTGGTATGTCTGGGAGTTTGCACGCAGGCTGCCTCAATGGTTTCCCATCGCTGTGCCGGAGGACACATCCAAATCTTTTGTACTAATTTCCTGTGCTTGATACTTTTTAATTACAGGGCTCATAGAGATATTTTCATGGCTTCCATAATTATTTAATATAAATGGTTGATTTATAGCCTCCAGATATAAAATCATAAAACATGATATCTCAAGGTTGCTTTTTCATGATTGCTTCTTTTTTTGATGATCACATTTGTATATGATGTTCGAATGCAATAGGCGGTAAATACCAAAGGAGCTCAGGGAAAACGTTGAGGTGTGGTTGCATATCAATCCACAAAGCCTCTGTTGCTCATTGCAAATAAAAAAGTGAGTAGGACAACACCCTGTTTTAAACTCTGCAATACTAAAGCGTGTTACTTGCTGTGTTGAATTTCTCAGTAACCATACATTACATCATACAAGCTCCAAAACTGATCCTATGCATTAGAGCCGATTCATCTTTAAACGTTAAGAGACCTTAATACAGTACTTCTAATTGATTATATTTCCCCCTCAAGATGCTGCCTCCTCAAACTATTTGATTTTAACAACTTTATGCTATCTAAATGTTTATTGTTATCATAACAAGTAACTGCACCTATAGGCTATACACCTACAACAGCATCCAAAATAATCAGTATTTCAATCAACATATCTCTACTGCATTAGTTTATGCTAGGTGTACCTTTTTAACTGGCAGCTATGTACATAAATTAAACTGTTGCTTGGCCATATTCCTGACAAACATCAAAAATAAATTCCTACATACACTCATAAATACCTGAAAATTAAATAACAGGTAATGTCTTTGTTATTTATAGATTAAACTGTGTATAAGCCTTAGGGTTTATTAGGTGATATAGGATTGTAATGTTTGGCCAAAATCAGAGGTTAGTGGAGTATACTGTAAACAAATTATGATCAGTTAAAGTCTATATGTATACACATTATAATAATATAATTCAAATTACAAAGCTCTGTCAGTAGAGCCCTTATTAATTGTTATTTTTTGTGACACAAACGGTCATGTGCATTTTCTAAAGCAAGGCCCCATAAAATAGAAAACGTCTAAACACTTTAATGAGATTTTAATAGGGCTATTACAATTCATTCTCACGAGTGCAGGCAATAGTAAAACAGGAAGTGTTATATGATAACAGATTGAAGGATCAATATATCTGGCTACATGCAGGACAAACATCCATTCAGTTGCTCGTATGAAATGAAGCCTCTGACAGCTTTGACAAATCATATGTGAGAGTCCAGAGTGATTCAATTCCTCCCATGGATCCCATAGGTGCCTATAAAATGCCTTCTCCATGACTCCAGCATTCCGCACCCTGTGTGCAATTATACGCCGCACAAGCCAACCCATGATTTACTCTCAGAGCAGATTCTTCCAACAATTTTGGGCGGATAGGAGGAGCGTGATGGGAAGTAGTATCTGCGGCACAGAGATCTGAAAGAGTAAGCAATGTAAGGTTTTCCTCAGAGATAAAAAAGGGGGAGATATGTGTGTAGTAGGTCATCGATTGAACGCCCCGATGACTCCACAGAGACACAGTGTGGCGTGCTAATGATGCAGCGATGTGAAATGGATCACATCGAGGGTCTCTGCTGACGAGACAACCCACCAAGGTCAAAGCTCATTTCATTGCCCTGCCCCACCTCCTTCCATGACCTCAAGCCATATCCATAACACAGCCGCACACACACATATACATATTTATCCTCTATCTCCCCATCTTCTCAAGCCATCTTGTGACCATGGAAACCGTGTGATCGGAAGTGCATGCAGATGAGTTTCTGTCTCACTTAATCATATAAACTGTGCACAGAGTTGTTGACCTCACTGACGGACTATTCCTCTGCTTTATGTTTCACAGGCATGGGGAGACTTAAATATAGCCATCCCATCCCAGACACGACACAGACACCAGCAGGCCGAGCATGAGGTATGTTCATGTTGCTAAGTGACCGCAGACATTTTCCCAAGCCACCATTAACAGTGGGAGGGAGTAAATTATGCTAATAGCTAATAGACAGATTTTTGTTGTAATGTTGTATTGAATTTGTTTATATCCTGTTTCCAAGAGGAGAAGTTTAAATATGTGTGGTAACTTCATAGAATACAAAAACATTTTAAATATATTCACAGAACATGTTCTACTCCTGAAAGAGGTAGGTATTGATCAATGTAATATAATAGGTAAAAAACCTTCTTTGCTTCCCA